AGGCAATTAAATTCATTATTACTCAGACCGGGTTAGAAGTTGTGTTCACTACTTCTAATAATGGTCGAACTCTTTTAGATATGAAAGAATCATTACCAACTCTTAAAACTATTATCATTTCTGATGATGCAGATCAAGATTTTATAAATCGTGCTAATGAATTAAAAGTTCATGCTATCGATTTCAAGACTATAGAAAATGATGGCAAAACTCATAAGGCAGAAGAAGTCAATCCTAAACCTGATGATATTGCTACTATTTGCTACACTAGTGGTACAACTGGAATGCCTAAAGGTGTAGTTCTGACTCACAAAAATTTAATGTCAATAGTTTGTAGTTTAATGTTTCTTGGTGAAAAAGGAAAGATGATCAAAATTACCAAGGATGATGTACATATTTCATATTTACCATTGGCTCATGTATATGAAAAAACAAGTGAAGCTACATTTATTTATGCTGGCGCTGCAATTGGTTTTTATCAAGGCGACACTTTGAAATTATTGGATGATATTGCTGAATTGAAGCCAACTATATTTATTTCTGTACCAAGATTACTTAATAGGGTATATGATAAAGTGTTTGCTTCAGTTAAAGGAAAAGGTAAAGTAGCTCAATGGATGTTTACGACTGCTTATAATTCCAAAAAGATTGCTTTATCAAAAGGTCAAATTGATCATTGGTTATGGGATAAATTGGTTTTTTCCTCTGTCCGAGAAAGACTCGGTGGTAGAGTTAAAGCAATTTTGTCTGCTGCTGCTCCTATTTCTCCTGATGTTATGGATTTTTTGAAAATTTGTTTTTCCGCTAATGTTTTTGAAGGATATGGTCAAACTGAAAATGCTGCTGCTTTGACAATCGTACGTATTATTTCACATTATACTATCTTTTTAGTGTTGATAAAACTTTACTGGTCATTTGTAGATCTGCTCAAATTGATCTAGTTATACGATTATAAAAATTACAAAACCATATATTTGTTGTTCGTCAAATTAAAATTGCGTTTGTCAAAATATTTAAATACTGAGTTTCATTAGGGTTCTGTGTTTGTGTTAGTTAAGTTTTAGCGGGATTATCTAACAAGATATTAATTTGACGTACAACATGCATAATTTGATCAATTTACCAGTATTAAAAAACAAATTCTGAATAGTTTTGTACTAACAAAAATGCATTATATTATATTTATTTAAACATAGACTCTATACGGAGATTTGTCGTCAGGTCATGTAGGACCACCACAAGTATGCGGTGATGTTAAGTTGGTAGATGTACCTGAAATGAACTATACATCAAAGGATAAACCACATCCACGAGGTGAAATATGTGTTAAAGGCCATTCTGTATTTAAAGAATATTATAAAGAACCAAAGAAAACAAATGAAGTACTTGATAAGGATGGTTGGTGCCATACTGGTGATATTGGAATGTGGGATGAATTAGGTAGACTTGTAATTGTTGATCGTGTTAAAAATATTTTTAAACTGGCTCAGGGTGAATATATTGCTCCTGAAAAGGTACGTTGTGTTTTATTATTTTATTTCATTTCTGTTAAACTACTTGATTTTTTTTAAAAAAATTTATTAATTGTTGTATAGATTGAAAACGTTTACTGTAAACATGAATTAGTCGCTCAAGCATTTGTATATGGTGAATCACTTCAAACATCATTAGTTGCTATAATTGTGCCAGATCGCGATGCTTTAATTTTGTGGGCAAAACAAAATAATTTGGGAGAACACTCATTTGAAAAGCTATGCGAACTTCCAGAAACCAAGAAACATATTCTTCAAACCTTAGTTAATCATGGTAAAAAAAATGAGCTAAAAGGATTTGAAAATGTGAAAAATATACATTTGACGTCTGAAAGTTTTAGTGTAGAAAATGATTTGTTAACTCCTACTTTTAAGTTGAAGAGGCATCAAGCTAAAATTAAGTTCCAAAAGGAAATTGAAACCTTGTATTCTGATATATCCCAAGCTTAAGATGTGAATTATTTAGCATGATAATTAAATTTATATAATCTTAATTGCTATTTTTGCTATTTACTATTTACATTATTTACATTATCATTATTCTATCCTTATTACATAGCACTATTGATAATGATTTCATATTTCATATAAGAGCTCCAACTCATTAAGCACTAATTAGACCTCTTGATAACGAATTTACATTGAGTATTTTCAGCATTTATTATTACAATTTTATTGGCGAAATTTGTATATTTTGTTGCTCATTTAACTAATTTTCCAAATAAAGTAGTAAATTTTAATCGGATACATATTTATTTCAACCTTATAATCGATAACTACTGATTTATATTAATAATTATCATATATTGCACTAGGGTCAAGTAAACATTGATTAATTGATTTTTGTTTCTGGAAAGCTGTTAACAAAACCAGTTTTACCACTAATCAATGAATCTCAATTAGTACCAATAGGTAGTTTACTGCTAGTAATAATTTATTGGTAGACAAACAGTTGGTAATACTATCGATTATAATCATTATTTACTAAATTTAACTAATGATAATTAAAGATTATTAAATTTAACTAATGACAATTAAAGTTTCCTGATGAATATGAATTAAAACTCATTCCTGGACAACGCTAGAGCTTGAAACGTAGCAACCTTCAGTCTAATATTGTTTAATATCCGTATGCTTAATTCTTTTATTATCACTTTTTGTTAAAAAGTTAAGACTAGTTATATTAAACAAATAAAATAATACACTTCTATAATATAAAAATATTAAAAATAACACGCTCGATGAATAATTTAAAGAATTAATACCGTTTCTGGACAATTAATCCGATTTTTCATGCATTGATGTGTTTACATGGTTTGTTTCTATTAGTTATTCTTTGTCTCCTAAAAGGATACAAATAATATCGTTTCATTGACATCTACTTTCAGGTTCTCATCGTAAGAAATTTATAATATTTCTAGATTTCTAAAGTTTTATAGTACAAGTAATTCTCAGTATAAGAAACCTTCGATATAAAAAACTCTGGACATAATAAAGATTTTGTAAATCCAAATTGAAAACCTTATAATAAAAATCCATCGACACAAGAAAGTTTCGATATAAGAAAGATTATGGCTGGACCCGACATCTTTCTTATTTAAGAAATTACTATAGTGCAAAAGGTTCTTTTAAATTGGAATAGTAAATAAAAGAGTTCGACCATTATTAGAAGTAGTGAACACAACTTCTAACCCGGTCTGAGTAATAATGAATTTAATTGCCT